GGTAAATTTTATTTTGGTTAAAAATCAAAATAAACAAACCAAACACGCTTTTATTTGGTTTTGATTTAAGCAAACAAAGGTTAGGTACATTACATGACTGCAGTATTATACAGTCATATAATGTATTCGGTATGAAATAGCCAAAAGATGATGTTCAAAAACTTTTGGCGGGGGTCTGTAGAAAAAACTAATATAATTACTTCAAGAAATATAGATAAACTTGCTATCCTACTTTTTCAAATTTTAATAATTTGAATTTACCTTCAAATATTCATATACTTCTTCATAATCGAATATTGCTTTCATGTCTTGTGTCTTTCTATTTAAAATAATTTATATCTTTCTTATCCATGATATATACATATTTATTTCAGTTTTGATATTGCAAATACTGTTTTAGATTTATAGTAAATTTGTCTTGAGTTTTACGTCTATTATTCTTAGAATTGTGAGACATATTTATGTATAGTGATCAAGACATTTAAATTTTTTTCATGCACTCATAATTTTTATCTTTCATAGAAAGTACACTTCGTGCATTAACTCAAACTTTTGAACATATCTGTATTTTACATAAAATAATGGTAAACACTCAATCCCAATTTGATTTATTGAGAGAATTAAATTCTAAGCTTGTAGCTAAGATTGCTAACCTTAGAAAGGAGAATGCTGAGGTCAAAATTAAAAATATGTTATTTCCCTTTGTATAATTCTAACTATTAAAAAAATAGTAATTATTTTCCTTTTAAGGATTTCTGCTTTTTGTTAAGTAATAGCATACTTTCATTTTGTTTTCTTTTTCTAACATTTATGATTTTTCTTTCTTCTTGATAAATTTCATAAATAATCCTTTTTTTTCTCAGATAAGCTTCAAGTTTCTGAGTATCATTTATTTTGAAAATATAAGGAGTTTTCTTACCTTGTTCTTTCTTCAAAATACTTCTGATAGTACTATAATTCTTGGATTTCATAGGTTTCATAGTAGATCTGATGTAAATGAGTTTCATATTAACTATTTTTATCTAGACAAATATCATGATTACATTATATTGGTAATACAGTTGTGATGTTAGATACATATTGATCCCTGAAATTTTTGGTAGTACCAATGTTCACTTTATCTGATTTTATTACAGTATATCCCATATATGATATTCAGATTATATGTGATATTTAGATTATATGTGATACTATAATCTAGGCTAAGCGGAATATCACATATAATATAATTATATTATATGTGGTATCCCACTTATCTAAAGTAGTAACTTTGTAAAAATAAAATGTAAAAATTTTAGAAATCTAAAATATAGTAAATTTTTAATAATATTTCAGGTTAGAATAATATATAGAAAGAAAATAAAAAGTTATAACTTAAAGTACTATTGATAATAGGTAAGAAAAAGACTAGAGAAGTAAAAAGATTTAGGTAAAGATATGAAAATAGTATAGCTTGAACTAATTTAGTATTTGTATCTCATCCTTAATAATTAAAAGGTTATAAAAGGTAAGATTATAAAAATAGCATAATATTAGTATTTTGTGTCTTACTTGATAATTAAAAAATAACAAATATCAAAATTGCAATACATTTTTAACAAATAGTAGAATTGTAAATTAAGCATTTTGTATTTCATTTCTAATAATTAAATGGACAATAAAAGTAGAATTATAAGTTTAGTATTTTTTACTTTAATTTAATCACAACTTAATTTTTTACAATCAATATTAACCTAGTATCTTAACTATAAAAAGACTACATAGTATTAAAATCAAGCGGATAACTATAAAGTAATAAAAAGGTGATAGAGTAATAAAATATATAGATAGTTACAAGATAATAAAAGGCTATAGAGTAATAAAAACAAATAAATATCAATATTATTATAAAAAAGCCATAAAAAGTTATTACATTATAATTTAAATCAACTATTCTAAGTAAATTATATTATTTGTATCTAATTAGATAACAGTTTAATGCAATTAGATTGCAATATATGTATCTATAACAATCTAGTTATATTAAATTATTATCTAATACTTATATTGTATTAATATTTGATTGATTATAAATATCACATAATAGATAAAAATTCATTATAAATAAGTTTGTTATATTAATAATTTATTTTATAACAATTATATATAAAATTTGTTTTATAATTTTTACTATTTAATTTTTAAACTAAATAAGTAGAGTTCAGATTAATATAGAATATCTAATAAATTTAACCTAATATTTTTTTTGGATTAAGTTAGATTAAGTAACTTATTCAGATCTAATCTGATTCATTTAATTCTGATTAATTTAGATATTTAAATTAATAAGTTTATTTTAGATAATTTAAAAATGCTTTTGAATTATTTTGAGTGACTGATTTACTTTAAATAATTTAAAAATACTTTATTTAATTGTTTAATAAGAATGATAAATCATTAAAAAGAATGATAATATATTATTTTGATTGAAATAATAATAAATTATTTTCTTGAATAATGACAAATTATTTAATTATTATTTAAGAATAATAATAATATATAGGGGATAGTCAATAGAAAAAAGTGAAATCTACAAATTTTAAGTAATTTTAGTTATTAAGCTAGTTTTGTTTACATGATTATGATAAGTAGAGTGAACCAATAAAAAAATTTTTGATTAAAAAATGGATTTCCTCTTTTCTACTGACCACCTCCCATATTGTAATAAAATATTTTAATAAAATATTATGTAACAAATAATTAATTCTTCAGAATTTAGAATTTTATATACTTTAATTTCAAATTATTTATGAATATAATAGTAAATTTAAAAATATTTATATATTTTATTATAAATATATAATATTTATATTAACGTTAAAAAATTAATGAAATTTTATTAAATTATAACATAATATTCACTTTGGATAAAGATAATTTATTAACAATTTTAAATATAATGTAAAAATAATAAAAAACTTTTATAATAAAATTAAAAAAAAAATACATTATATATAATTGAATTTTAAAGGTATGTTTAAAAAAATTTAAAAGCAAGTTTTATAATAGATTAATTTATCAATAATTTTTTAAAATCAATGAGAAAATCAAAGTTTATTAATCAATTATAAAAAAAATAATTATTTTATTATATGTTATATTGTTTAAAGCTTTATATTATAAATCAGTTGATTTTATATAATATGATTTTTTTAAATTAATATAGTATTATAAGCATATCTACTATATTTCAAATATTTATTTAAAAGTATAATAAAAAATTGATTTAAATTATAAAAATTAGAGAATTATATAATATTATAAAATAATAAAACTTTTGTTTTAATAAGATTATATGGGTGTTATGCAGTAGAAAGGGAGGAACTACCAATAATATTTTTTTGAGTTAATGTTAAATCTGAATTTATCTTACTAAAAAAAAAAATAATATTTAGCTTATAAAGTAAAAAAAAAAATTTTTTTAGTGGTTTTTTCCCTTTTTACTGCAAAACGCTCATATAATATATAATAAAAAATTGTTACTAAATTATATAAAAAAATTATTTTAAATAAAAAAAAAATAAATAAATAAAAAAATATACTTTAAAATAAATTATTAAAAAATATTAATAAAATAAATACAAATTTTATATTATAATTAATTATTTAATAGTAACTTTCATTTAATATTAAACTTAAAAGTTTTTATAATAAATAATTGTTCTTATAGTTACTAACTAATACTTATTGAACTTTCTTTTGTCATATTAATAAATCTCTGATTTAATTGATAGGTATAAAGGATTAGTGTAGATCTTAATCAAATTTAATAAAATATATTTTATTGATATTCATTTGCAAAATAAGTAAATATGTAATATTCAATTCCAAGTTTTTTGAAATCAAATATTAAAAATCATTTCAAATATGTCTTTCTCTGAAAAGAATCATTTGCAAGACCTACCTTAGAACCAAAATAAAAGAACATAAAAAAAATAATATAAAATAAAACTTTTAATAAAGAAACTTCACAAGGACTTGAATCTACAAAGAAAGATTCTCTTAAATATATATAAGTTTTGATATTCAAAATAAATTTCGATATTTGAAATCATTAATAATTTTTTGATATACAAAAAAGAGTTTTTGACATTTTCGATATTCTTTATGAATGAATGATAGGCTAATGTACTCAATAACCTAGAAATTGCCTTTTCATGTTTGGCCAAAAAATCCAATCACAGGATCAGATAATCCGTTGTCTTTTTTAATGTTGGTAGCATTTCCAAAAGCCGTTGGTATTTCAATTCCTGAGAGACGAAGCTTTTATTAGCTAATATTTCGGTTTCATGTTAGCGTTTCAAAAAGTTAAATCAAAAAACCAATTGGTTGTTTTTAGTAATCCAATTAACGAACAATGGCATTTTGCGTGAAACTTGATTGGTCAAAATAAAATGTAAAATTAATTGATAAACTAATATTGTTTACATACAACACATTTTGTAATGGAAAAAAAAACCAGACTCGATGAATTTTTTATTATTCAAGACTGAAAAAAAAAAAAATGATGGTGATTGAGAATTATATACAAAAAATAAAGGGAGAAGGGGGAATATATATATATTTAAAAAAAAAAATTTCAACGAGGAAAAAAAAAAAAAAGTTTTTAAAAAGTAATAAAAATAATTTTTTTCTAAAAATAGTAAATAAGTCTATGTATTAAATTGAAAGTAAAAAATTCGACAATTAATTTTTCCAGAAAAAAAGAGTCAGTCTATATTATATATATATAATAATGAGAAGAATACGAATGCTTTTTTTTGGTTGGTTATAAACACGGAGTAAAAAAAAAAAAAAAAAGATGAGTGAGGGGGATGTACATATGTATGTGTATATGTATATATATAAAAAAAACTATGTATATATATGTGAACGAAAATAACTATTAAGGTAGTAGTAGAAAAGGTAATGAGATTATTAAACTATATACTTTTTTTTGTTGTCATCGTTTTAACTTCCTGCCATAACAACCCTACTATGCTCAGAAGTTGGCGAATCACCAGTACCGTATAATGTAGTAATTTGTCGAATCATATTATGATCCAACGAGCTGCTACGTCTCACGCGGCCATGTATTCGTCTTTGATGATGGCTACATGCTGATTTAGTATTGGACAGACTATAAGTCATTGGCGATGATGAATAAGATGTGACGCTTGACAATGCAGGAGACGAAAGTTCTGTCGGAATATGTGAAATTGGAAGAAGATTTGAAGTGTCACCACCACCAGAATCCAGGATAGCGTCCGGTCCAGTTGATTTCCGCCTTGATTTCCGATAATCATCATCATAATCATCTTGCGTAAAAGAACTTCGGGTAGGAAGAAATGAATGATGACTATAAGAACGACCCGAAAGACTCCTTTTTAATCTTCGATGTCGAGGCGAACGTGGGGAGGTCATCAATCGCAACTTCTC